GGTGGGGACTATTTTAGTCTATGTCTAGCAGTAAGTCTACAAATTTATATGTTATAATAATGAAAATGTGGATAGATTTGAAATACTCATTAGCTATGGGTATGGGATGTAGACCTAGCAATTCATGTTTTTGTATCATGTTTCTATCGTGTTTGACACGTGTAATGACACAATTTATTAAAGTACTAACATGACATGAATTACAAAATGTGTTTAAATCTTAAATATGAACATTACACGTTTATTATACGTGTTATACACGACACGATACAATTAACACGTATACAATTAATCTATTTAAACACAACATGAATAAACATGAATAACATAAATATATACGAATAGACATGACTAACACGAATATACATAAATAGACATAACTAACGCAAACATATACAAAAACACGACTAAAATAATAAATAACTGTAAACTATCCATCATTTATAATTTGATAAACTAGGCATATTAATAATATAAAAAAATACTTGCATATTAAAAAAAATTGATACCATTTAATATGTATTTAATATATATTTAAATTTTAATACATATATTACATAACTAGATTAGGTTTTAGTATCGAATTCAAAATGATGAATTACTAAATATAAAAGAATAAAATAATGATGTATAAGACTAGTATTAATATTTATGTTGTATTTATATTATTAATATAAAAATAATTTTATAATAATTTTTAAATAAGTATCATAATTAAATGTTTAAAATAATTTTTATATGATATTAAATAGCTAATTAAGTATCATAATTAAAAGATTAAAAATTAAAATAATCTTTATATGGTTATATTAAATTAAAATAAATATAAAAAATGTGTTAAAAGTGTTAAACATGTTAAACATATACTTGTATGATAAGATTAAATTAAACATGTATCTTTGTGACACGTTTTATTTAAATGTATTTTTCGTATCTTACATATGTTTAAATGTGTCAACATATATAAGAAATGAATTGTGCAATATCAAAATTTGTGTCAACATGAATAAATATGAAACATGATTTTTTAAAACACATACAATTTTTTTTGTCATTTTTGTATTGCATCATCATGTCGTGTCTGAAATTATCAAGTATAATGGGATGGGTATAATATAAAAATTTGACAATGAGAATGGGAATGCTTTACCCACCCCATATCCTATTTGTTGACATCCCAATTTGAGATCAAAACATATTACTTGATATGATTATTATGTTTTTTTTAAGTTTTTTTTTATGAAATTACAAGTACAAGATATAACAAACTAAAATATAACTAGATAAATCCCAAATAAAATTGAACCAAATCCACATACTATTAGTGGGTCTAGAATTTTTTTCAAGGATATCCATTTATAGTATATAAAACAATTGTAAAAATTTTTTTGAAATAATATATTATTATGTTATTACAATTGTCCACAATGAGTTCTCATATTTTAAAAAAAAAAGCCATTGCATCATTGCTAATAATATTAAATATATCCGTTTTAATATATGTAATTAAAAAATTATTCAACAAAGAACTATTGATAGATTTACCAATTGTGTTGACAGAAAGAGTATCTAAAAGAAAATTTTGGAGGTGCCCAAGGAATTTTTTTTCTTTCTTTTTTGTTTTTCAAAATTTTTGAGTGATTATGAACATTTTAGCACAAGCTTTGGATCCGTTCCTACCATACACAATGAATTTGAACGTAAAACTCCAATGTTTTAAGGCCTACTCCTTACCATTAAGACAATACCTTATTAGCAAGTCAATATATGGATTTTTTTTTTTTTGAAAATGGTAGGATAATATTACATTGTGTTCAACAAATGTAACTAGAGTACTTTTAATATGTGGGAAAAAGCTAAATTATAAGTCTTAATCTTCGTTTAGCATTGCTATTGAAAGTAACTTTTGCATTCAAAAGCTATTTTTATCCAAACATAATGCTTAACAACAAAAAATTTGGTTTTTCAGTTTAAAAGTTTGGTTTTCCAACCCAAACCAAAAAGTCTTTTAAGACATTTCAATTATTCACAACAATTTTTTCCCTATAATACTAAACATTTAAAATTTCTAACCATACTTTTCTTATCATACTTTATTAAACATGCTTTTTTTTTTAACTTAAAATTTTTCTAACCACAATAGTAGTGCTTAATTAGCCTTTAGATTATCTTGGTGCCTACTACAAAATATATAAGGACCAAAATGATCACTACAAGAAAAGCTTGTTTTAGCAAAAATTTTAGTGAGAGTTGCACATTGACCCTCCTAAAAGCTCTTGTGTAGTGAAAGCCAATAAGAACTTTCATTGGAATAAATTTTTAGTGAATAGTATGTTTTGACCTTCTCTAAATGTTATTTTTTGTATGAGGCACATATAACCTTCACTAATTTAGTATTTTACGTGAGGATCCAAAGTTGACCTTTACAAAAGTATTTCATTTATATGATATTTTATTGAATATTTGAACAATTGTTAACAGAATAATGTAATAAAAAGATTAAATAGAACCAATATTAAAGATCCAAATAAAAGTTTGTTAGATTTTGTAAATAAAAGTTAATTTATTCTTGGCTAGTTATTTCAAATGTAGGATTTCATACAGGGAAACACTACAAACAGTTGAACCTTACTAGAATCTTGCTTAATGCTTAACAATGGCTTCATCTTATGGAATTTCATTTTTTGCCTTAAAAATTTCAACCTACAAAGTGATTCTTTTCTTTAAAATGAGTTGAGTAGTAGTTGAGAAGTGGTGATAGAGGGAAATGATATGAGGAAGGGATTCTTATTGGCATTTTGTGTCATTTATAATTATTGTTAGTTTTTATGGGTAACCCAGTCTCATTGATGTGTAGCCTGAAAAATGCATTTAAATGTGAAAGTTGGAAGTAGGATTAGGTTTTAATCTTTGTCCTACAATCATGCCACGTCTAGCTTTTATCTTATTATCTTCTTGTTAGTAATATTGAAGGTTTCTAATTTATGTATAATCAATATTTCTCTAGTTATTTCTTATATTTACATTTGTATGGATTTTTTATGTAGAAAAAATCACCACTTGGGATGCCTACCTAGTTGCTCATCCAGATAGTAAGGCTTTCTGTAATTATATAATTTTTACATATATTATTTTCTTGATGGTCTTCTTGATTATGTCCATTTTTTAGAAATCCTTGCATGTTTTACATGGTTTATTGAAGCAATTGAAAATTTTTTCATATGGCTATTTTAAGCTTTATCTATATACTTTCATTTTTGTAGGCTACTTTTATCTTCATATATTTGTTTTATCTATTTTCAACAAACTCATAAATGTTTAGTATCTAGTCATTCTTATTTCGTTATACATGTTTTTTCTTTTATAAAATCTCATTGGAGTTTTTGCTACAAAAAAGGCATTTCTCGCAAAAAAGAATATTTATCGACATCAGATGATTTTGACTATGTATTGCTTAGTTGTCTTGCTAACCTATCTAAGTTTTTTAGATAAAAACTATAAAGCACTAAAAAAGAATTGATATATCCGAGAGATGTTTGTATATTGTTTGGAATTGGTATATGTGAATGCTAATTTGGTTTTATGTAATAATTTTTTGGACAAATATTATTTATTTATATTTTGTTTAGAATAAGAATTACAAATATAAGAAATATATATGTCCATTACATAATTAAGTATTCTTCATAAAGGTCTTAAATATTTTCACTAAATGATGAAAAGTATCATAGTGAAGGTTACAATTCTTAATGATGATCAAAATAAGCCTTCACTAAAAGTAAAAATTTTAAGTGAAGGTCAATAAAAGTTTTCATTAAATGCAAAAGATATAGTGAAAGGCAAAATTAACTTTCACTATAAATTTCATATTTAGTGATGCTACACATTAACCTTCACTAATTATTTATATTTAGTGAGGGTTTTTTTAACCCTTGCTAAATGTTAGATTTAATGAGAGTTGTATTTATCTTTATCATATATAATTAACGAAAAAACCTCATAGCAAGAGTTTATAAGAGTCATATTGACTCTTGCTAAAAAAAATGAGTGAGAATTATATAAATTTTTAGTAAAAATCATAACCTTTACTAAAAAACTCTATTCTTCTAGAGGTTGCATTTTTAGAGTATTGGATACTAAATGAGATCGAGCAATAAAAAGAAATATCTCAAAAAATTTCAAATTATATCATTAAGAACTACAAATGTGCAGTTCATTACTTTTATAATAAAGTTTTAATTTTGAGATTTTTTATTGGAGTTTGCGCAACTTTGATTATTTTGTACATTAAAAAGTTATTTTAATATTTTAAAAAACAATTTAGTTGTAAATTTGAATAACTTCTTATGTAGGATTAAACTTTTTGTTCAATAAATAGTTGCTTGGTCGATGTAATTGGCTAGTTCTTTTAGTTACGTATTTGCATGATCTATATTAAAATCCTACATGATTATCCTACTATTTTGGTATAAATTTTATATTGGAATAGTTTGATGATATAAAGAGCTGTATATGTATTTGTTTAGTATTATGCTATTGTATAGAGAAAAATAACTTATTCATTCATTCATTCATGTTTTATCCATTTGTTTTAAAAAATAATTTAGTAAAAAATATCATTGTAAATAACTTTACATTCATATAATCAAATATAAAAATTTTAGATTTTATTCATTTGAATCAAATACATATATCTAATATCATCGAAAATGTATAGGATAATAAAATTAAATTTTCAAAAATAATCTTACTTTCCCTTATCAAACACTCACTTATTTTCATCATTATTTGATAGGAACCTATAAGGTAAAAGAAAAAAAAAAAAAAACAAAAGGGGCAGAAAAAGGATAAAAATATGAAAAAATATGAAAAATATGAACTAGCCGTTGGAGATGAGAAAAATACACTTGGAATCTGAATAAACCCTATTTTGAATTCCCCCACTTCTCAAAGCACTCAAACCTTAATAAACCGACGTCGTTTGCGTCTTCCCTCGCAACATCTTAAAACCAAATCCCCCCTCAAGCTCTCTCTCTTATCTCTATCTCTCGAAAACATCCGTCTACGAAGAAGAAAAGAAAAAACCCATTTTTGCATCTCTTCTTCTTATACCCATTTGCTCCTTTCTTTTTAAGTCTTTTGATTTGGGTGCTTCAAAATTTTCGCTTTTTATTTTGTTTGCTGATTTTTGTTGGTTTTTTTTTTCTTTTGGATGAATCAATAATAAGAAAAAGAAGGAAATGGCAACCGTTAATGGGTACCAAGGAAACACACCAGTGGCCACCAGCACTGGAACAAAACAGCCTGCCCCCACTGCTAAGACTGTTGATTCTCAATCAGTTCTTAAAAGGTTTTCTTTTTCTCTTTTCTTGTGGTTCTGCATCTTACTTTTTTTTTTTTTTTGTTATTTTGTTTACATTGGATTTTGTTTCTTAACTAGGTGGAATGGAATGCTAGATTTTTTTTTCTTTTGAAATTGTTTTGGTATATTCGAGGAAGTCCAAGAGTAGCAACCATTTGGTCAAGCTTGGATCAAGTGTTTGTTTCAATTTTTTGGGTTAATGATTATTTTTTAAAACAAAAATAGGAATTTCCCTTTCATAGTTTTTGTGTTTTATCTCGTTTTTTTCTGTGTCTGAATCTCTCTTTTATGTTTTCTTGTCAACAGGTTGCAATCTGAATTGATGGCTTTGATGGTAAGAACTCTACTGTCTGTTTTTAATATTTTCCTTCTTAAAAACAACGAAATTAGTGCATTGTTTGTTTAGTGATTAAGGGTTTTGTCCTAAAGTTTTCTAAATATATTGTTTAAATTTATTACTAATGAGTAGATGAGTGGAGATTCTGGAGTATCAGCATTCCCTGAAGAGGACAACATATTTTGCTGGAAAGGAACAATTACAGGAAGCAAAGACACTGTATTTGAAGGAACGGAATACAGGCTATCTCTTGCATTCCCCAATGATTACCCTTTTAAGCCTCCAAAGGTTAAGTTTGAGACTGCCTGCTTTCATCCTAATGTTGATGTCTATGGCAACATTTGCTTGGACATTCTTCAGGTAAAATCTTTTCTTTTACTTCCCAAAATTTTGTGAAAGAAAAAAAAAAGAAAAAATTGCCTGTCTTTGGACATAATTTGTATTTGTTGTAGGATAAATGGTCATCTGCATATGATGTAAGAACCATTCTGCTATCTATCCAGAGTCTGCTTGGAGGTATTCTTTCTTCTGTTTCTTCTTTTTTTTTTTTTTTTTTGAAAAACACTGGAGCTACAATGAGAAGCCCTTTTTAATAGTTTTAATCCTTTGGTAATCTGATTTGCAGAACCAAACATTAGCTCACCTTTGAACACCCAAGCAGCTCAACTTTGGAGCAATCAACAAGGTACCTTGTAGATTGAATGGCTTCACTTAGTGTTTTATCAGCAGATCTTTTTGTTTTTGTGATGAAAATTGTTTGAATATTTTTGTCTTTTGCAGAATATAGGAAGATGGTTCAGAAATTGTACAAACCTCCTAATGCATAATTTGAGAAATCAAAGGGCAACAACATGATTTTGGAAAAAAGTTAATAGAACCCCTTTAATGTTTTTTTCCTTTGGACAAATGAAAAAATGAATAAAATTTGTCCTTTTTTTGGTTCATCGGAAGGCAAAGCTCTTAGAAAGGAAAAGATGGATGACGGGATTAAAACCCCTATTTCATGCCTTACTCAAAACCTCTTAATAACTAGATTAAGAGGTGGAAAGCATAAATTGTCTTTCTATGTAGTGTATGCTTTTCATAATTAATGATAAAGCACTTGAATTGTTTTACTTGATTCTCAGTGTTCAAGAAAAGAGTTCTGGGAAGTACCAAATCTCCTGTAGAGTTTTATGTGTTCAAGAATTGTTGAGTTTGGGAATTTAACGCACTTTTTTCGTACGGAAAACTAATACATGCTTCATGATATTGAAAATTAAATTTGAGACCAACGGCAACTTGATCATAGATATATCAATCATTGAATGAAAAGCTTCAAAGTTTCAATGAAGCTTTTCAATAAGTAACTATCATTGCCAAAGATGGGAGAAGGTTTGCTTTACGTTCCACGTTTCAATGAAACATAGAAGAAAGTTGTCCAAATTCAACATAGTATGGTAACTCTCCTCTTTCTCCCATTAAACCTAGCTTCCTAACGGAAATGATCTCTTAAAACTTCACCTTATGAGTCCAAATCCTCAATATTTGAAATTGATGGAGATTGAACCTAATCACTACCGGCATTGATGTAAGTGTTAACAGGACTTTTAAACGCTGCAGCTCCAATGTAACCGGCATCTATTGCTTTGGCGATGTAAGTTGCCTCAGGTTATATTTTGCCAACTCCTTGTACTTCTCAACAACTCCGATCAAGCAGACAGTCTGACAAAATATCATTCAGTTTAGAGAAGAATGAAACTGCCTATCAGAAAGCATATCTAGAAACAATCAATGAAAAAATATTTTTCATGCACAGGGATTTGCATTTAAAGGAAAAAAAAAAAGGAAACGACAACAAGCGATTTGCTTTTATAAAAACAATAAACAAAGACAACAAGTGAGATTCATTAGCACCATTTTTTCTCCTATAGCACCATTTTTTCTCCCTTTCAACCAAGTGAATCTTGTGTCAGTGAGTATAGAGTCCATAGAAAAATGATTAGTCAGATATGACGATTTATATTCAAATCCTAAAAATTAAAACATGCAGAAGCATGAAAACAAATGAAGAATTGCTTAAAATACTCTCTAGAGAGTGGAAGAGAAATCAGATTCAGGCATTTTAAAATACTCCAGCTCTTTGAAATATTCTCCACCTTTAAAATTTTCAGAAGCAAATACCATTTTTTTGGCCTTGATTTTAAGTGTCATTATCATGGCTAGTTTAAAGTAAGTGATTACATTTGAATCGTCTCCAACACAGAATGATCAATCTTTAAGCATATCCTTTTGGCCAATAATTTAGAAAAGGAAGGCTGGACTAAATTTTCAGCGAGGGGGGTTAAGTGATCTTGCAAACAAGCAAATTTGAACAAACGTTAGAAATAAAAGATAATGTCCTCACCTTAACAATTTCAACCACAATTGTCATATCAGGATTGCTAAGATCAACTTTGTGCGGTGCAGGTATAGACTTAGCAACTGAATTTATAATTTTCATCCTGTCAATACCAGAATTTGCACGGGCCTCGTACAGTACAGCAAACTGCACAGAATAGAAGTTACAAAACCAGCACATATATAATACTTTTCAATTTGATTAAATCAAAAGGATGCTGTCAGAGTTATTCATGTAGGGTCCTTGACACAACAAAACAGATCTATATATGATAACAGTAAGATATTTATCCTTCTTCCATACTATAAATGTTTTTAATATATATTATATATAGAGGAAAAAAGATGCAAAAGGTTTTTTTTTTTTTTTTTTTGAGGGGGTGGCACTGTATCTAATATAAACATTATATGACTACCCAAAATGAAATTAACAATTATACACATAATTTATTCAAAGATAGAGAGATACAGGGGGATAAAAGGATCCCTCAAATAATAACCAAGACATTTACCCTGTGAATAAATCATCAAAAGATCGGTTCAAATTACCTGTTTTGCATGCTAAATGAAGACCTTAAAATACTTTAGACAGTTTAGTTTTATATACCGAAGTGAAACATGAATTGAATGGTAAGTCATGAATAATTTGATTCCTTTTATTATGTATAGCTTTAGGCCCATCTTGCACAGATCTCCCAACAAGCAAATGGTACAAGACACGAAGTCCACAACATCATATTGGATGAACACTTCTGCAGCACAATCTAAAGCCGTGGTTGTCAATCTTAGAATTTCTAAGAACATTTTAATTTCCTATCAAGTCAAACTAGTGAAAACCCACTTGGCAGGTATATGACACCTTCAGCCTGATTTGCCAACATATATTCAAAAAGTTTGACAGGTCCAAATTGTCATTTCCCTCAACAAAGAAAAATTAAGTGACATCTCTCATTTTGCAAAACAACCTAACTTGAGCTGAACTAGAACTTGTGCCTTTAAATGGTGTTGATCATGCATTAATCATGCATTTGGATTGTGTCAAATCTAAGTTTGATTAAAGCCAGTCTGAATGGGATCAATGAAAGATAAACAATAGAGATGCCTAAAGAACTTTTAAAATATAATAATGTGTTACAGAAAGCAAGTTCGAATTCAGTGCACCTTTTTTTCCATCCTATGCATTCCAAACTAACTTATCTGAATACATGTCCTTTTATTTTTACAGAAAACTTGCACTTAGAAGCACTAAATATAACATTTTATCGCTTGAAAATCAAAATAAAAGAAAAAGAAAATGATGAGATTCATCTATTCCATACCTTCTTAGGGTTCTGTGTCTCCACTGGAAAATACTGCACAATTAGAGGCTTCATTGCTATTGTAATTTCCTCTTCTGAAGCATAGCATGCTACTTCAACTGGTAAGACTCTTAAAATGAACCTAAATAACACAAACATTAAGATTTTAGCTTGCTACTATCAAGATGACATTTCCTATGGGCATGTGCTTTGTATATTTAACATAACATGAAAGCCAATAATGAACCTTGACATGTGCTTCCTTGTTGATGCAGCAGATGTCATCATATGCTGCACAATATCTTTAGGGCCAGGATCCCCATCTCTCTTCCGCATTTGAACAAAGACAACACCATTACAACCAGAATCAAGGTTGAGGAACCGCCTCTATTTGAACATGATGCAGAGAAAGAAGAATCAAGTAAAAAACTGGAAAAGGAAAAAGAAAATGCAATAATGGCATGCATCACCCCGTTTGTTTACAAGAGATAACAAGAACTAAGCTCCTTAAAGAAAGCTTGAGCAACTCAACGCTAAGAATGAGAATTGAATTTGAATAAAAAGAGTAGCAAACAAAAAATCATGAATAACTCATTTGTTGACAATTAAAAGAATCAGATAAACCATATTTCCGATTGACAGACTAAATACAAGTTAGTATGTCTTAAATTTTTATTAGTGAAGTTCAATGTAACATGGGAGGAACATCCTTATTTGGACTACTTCCATCTTGCATCAAAAGAAATATGTGTAAATCTTCAATTAAGTAATTTGCATTATTGATACTATGTTAAATTCAAATAAATTTACAAGAAAATATAGCATCAGCATTTTTTTAGTTTATTTTCACTTTCGTTTCCAATAAGCAAATAATTGCTTTATTGCTTCAATTTCATTCAAAATGCCAACAACATAACTTTGGTCAAAAAGGTATGCTAGCACCCTAATAAAATGTTTTTTCAAAATGTATTTTTCCTCTTTCTGGCAGCCAATTAATCTGCATAATTAATTACAAACTTTTGCAGCCATAGCTCACCAACCTTACTCTTATCTCCAAGCTCTGTGAGCTCAGCTTCAATAAGCTTATCAATGGATTTCTCTTTTTCATTGGTTGCAGACTTTGATGTATCTATTTCGAGGCATTGTTTCTTCACTGGTGGCTCCTCAGAATCTGCTTGATTTTCAATATTTCCTCCATCCTTTTTACTATCATTAGTCTCTTCCGTTACCTTTCCATGGCATACATCATCTAAATTATGATGATCCAAATCTTTATTTGTTAGACTTTCTTGACTAGCATCATTTTCTCTACTAGTATCTGATTTAATCATTTCCTGTTGCCCTTCCTCCTCTCCCTCATCATCACCCTCCTCTTCTTCATCATCATCTGCCTCATCATCACTATATGAGAAAGTAATCTTTTTATTTATAGGCTTATTTGGTAACCCAGCAGGTTCCTCTCTGAAATCCTTTCCATGGACTAGCTCTTCAAAGAACTGTGAGAAAATCAAATAATCAGAATAATGGAAATGCGCAAACAAATAGCATAGGAGAGCATTGGAAACTACCTAAACTTGAAAATAGAAATAAACAATCTAAACTTCGAAACTTCCTTTCAGCTGCCATACATGACAATAAACCTCTTTCCATTAGGGAATGGGAAGATGTGGGTTATATGAGTTGTTACAAAACACCCACAGACAGCATTTTCATATCAAAGTAAGTTTCTAACAAAGATAAATGGAGTAAAACAAAATCCTTTTCTCTCAAAAGAAGTTCTTTTTCTATTTGTCACTAAACAACCTCAATTTGAAAGAATGCTAAGAGCAGGGTATTGTCTGTAATGATGCCAAATAAACAAAAGATGATAGCCCAAAAAGAACAATCAAGATCCAAAATTAGATAGAAGATGTAAAAATTGAGAACCAAGAACACAATATCTAAAAAAACAATTCCAAAAAAGAAAAACAAGAAAATGAGCAAAAGGAAACAAGAAAATCTTCCCTATCTTTTTTTCTCCTTATATTTCACTCCCTTCCAAAGAAATTAAATTACGAATTTGTGTCTATAAACAGTTCTCTTCCAGCTGCAAGAATAGAGGGCCAAAACAATAATCTAAAAAACTCTTCTATGAGATAATCTCTCTTCTTCACAAACCTCATTACTCTCAAGAGAATGAATACATAAATATCTCCATATACAAGGTTGTGAAAGATGTATCCTGTCAAACAAATAGAATGTCACCAGCTATCTTCCCAATCAATTTGGTGAGCAACATCAGCCAACTTTTCTTTTCATTTTCTCTTCTTGATCCAACTTTTCATCTTTGATTAGAGCCCAAGTTTCTTGATAAGCAATTCATATGTTACAATTGGTGGAGAAAGAATTGGGGTCTAAACGCAGCAAGAGACAAAAAACAGACATTTAATTACAAAACTAACTGGACATTTTAAAGCAAGCAGATTATGAAACATGCTATAAAATGGTTTTTCCTATCCACTATCACTGATGTGCTGTTTTGACATCCTTATTGTGTATATAAATTGACTGAAAGGGGCTGCAAGAACAATATATCAGGTATACACAAGCAAACCCTGAATCCCTAATAGTTACTACTGCATATTCCTAACATACATTTCTAAAATAGTAGGCATAATTTGTAAACCAACAGCAAGATCAGCTCTGCCTCATAGTCTTAAATAATGGTTCAGAAAAAAAGCATGCACTTCAAAACAAACTAACACATTATCAAAAGAACTAAACCATAACAGTATGAGCAGCTAAGATGTGAAAAGATGCAGGCTTAAAGTGCAATGCCACAACTGTTATCACAAATCAAGTCTATCATTGATAGATTAATAGAAGTTAATGTTAAGATTACACTTCAAGTTAATTGCTCAAAATCAAAACTCTAATTCAATTTAATATTGCATAAAAACCCCCTTCTAAAAATCTTGCCTCCTCCAACAGAGCAATTTCAGCAATATACGGTTTGAATATAGAGAAAGAACTACAAAGCAAGAAATGGAGCACCATTTCAAGAAAATACATAAATATAGAAGAAAGAAAACAACTTTGAACATTAATCAAAAACCTAGATGACAATCAGCAACCATTAATTAAAAAAAGTTAAATCTAACCAAGGAAACTGAATTACAAACAAATACCCATATGGAAAATCATCAGTTACTGATCCGACAGTTAAGTTTAATTGAAAAAAAAGGGTTCAAGAAGAACTTTTATGAATTTATAAAAAGGAAAGAAAAACATACAGAGTCAATAACATTGATAGCTTCATGAGCAGCTTGGCGTTCTCTGCCACCATCGCAAGTGATAAAGAAACCTTGAACCCCAGGCCTTAATGGATAAGCGCCTCTCTTCTTAACTGCTTTCTGTTTGCATAGAAAAAGAAAAAAGAAAAATACAAAAAATAAATAAAAATATAGACAGCACAGTAAAAGAGGAAGTTGAGTTTGGGTTTGGGGGGCTAACATTATAGGGAAGATATTGCTTCCTCTTCTTTCCTTTGGTTGTGGCAGTGTTGGGTTTTGCTTTGTTTTCGGTGGCCATTGGAGAGTTGTCTACGAACGAGGCTGAAGCTCAAATGTTTTGTACATCAGACTCGAGGGTTCGGTTACATTTCTCAGCTTTATTAGAGTAAGATTTTCTTTTTTTTTTTTTTTTTTTTCAATTTTCTTTTTTAGTCTTTTTCGCAAGAAGTTTTTGTTTGGGAATAAAATAAAATAAAATAAATTGTGTTAAAATTTAGCAACAATTACATTACTTTGGCTTATTAAAGATCAAATTTTAGATTTTTTGAACAAATTATTAGAAATTTTGTTGTGTAAGTTTTTTTATAAAAAAAATTATAATTTTAAAATAAAAAAAATTGTAGGTCCTGAAAATTATATATCAACAATAATTTCGTTTATCCCAACAGTAATTAAGAGATTTTAGACTAAGATATTTGTAGCTCTTCGTTGGTACCATCATCCATAAGGTGAACTCTCCACAAAAGGAGTGAAAAAAACCTACACATTTGCGTCTTACTCAAACGATTAGAACAACCTATTTCTTTCAAATTATTATTTAGAAAAAAAATAAAAACTATAAGTGACAAATGTCAAGAGAAATTAACTGAAAGTCAGGAAATATCAATGACATATACAGTTCTATTGCAACATGTAACATGCTTAAGCTTTTTTTTTTTTTTTTTTTTTTGTCTTTTCCTTTTTGATGGATGTTACCTAGCATGTTTTAGGTGTATATTTGGCTCAACCTTTCAACACAACTTGTTTACTTTATAATTGAAGTTGAGCCAATCGGTACTATTTGATGGCACAGATGGGTGCTCTGAACCATATCGCTGGCAAAAGCCAAGCAACCAACTTCAGACGCCCTTCACTTTTGCTCGCAAAGCTATTGCAGTTTCCTTCACATGATGTTGAATAGTCGTGTGATCTGTTACTGGTGCAATTAACTCTTAATTTTAATTTTAATAATCAAAATTTAATTTTAAATCTCGAATATAAAAAAAAAAAAATACATATTTCGATGACAAGTAACCTGACTGATTAAAGCCTACCCTAAAGATAGGTACAAGGCTAACAAATTTATGAGATAGGCCTGACCCATTGTGTTTTCTTATCCTTCCGCAATCTGCTCTAACAGATTGTAAATATCAGGATTTAGTTTCTTAGTTTCAAGCCCGGCGGGTATACAATTATATATATAATTTTTATTATAATTTATAACTAATAAAACTTGTAAGGGAATGCAAATTTTTACGTTTAAAAATAACAAAAAAAGAAAATCTTGGAGATAAATATGTAGCTATAATAGAATTTAAAGAAAATTCCTTTCGTAACATTTACTCCATCGGACAAAGATATTTGGACAAAATTAAATCATTTTTTAATTGCTAATAGTTGAAATTTACTCCTTTTAAAATTAGTATGATGTACACTTTCTTTTCACGAGAATCCTTCTATACTTTGTTATGGTAAAAAGTTTGCAATTGATTCTTATGTGTACTTATTATATTATATATCTTCGAAGGAAATGTTATTCTACTTGCACTTGGTATAAAATCTTATAAATTTTGTAAATGAACAAATAACTCTATTCAAACAACACTTTTTATAAAGTTTTCAACCAAATGTTCGACCTAGTCAAACATAATTTAATTAAAAGTATCATTTAGAAAATTAGAACCCATAGGAAAAAGCTTCATTTATAAATTATAATTTACTCATCATGTATACTTTGTACATACCTTCCAATAATTTGTAACTCCTAAATTTTAGAATTAAAACTCGATAAATATTAGTTAATTTATTAAGTAAAAAAATTTTAAAAAAGGAATTCTATTTATACTTTCATTTTTATTTTATACACCTCACTATTAAATGCATTCCAAATTCAAACTTAAATTTTTTATTCTATTAAATACACCTCACAACCCATTTTATATTTTCCCTTCTTACCCTTTCACTTTCATTTTCTATTTTTCTCTCCGATCAAAGCCTTAAATCAATCAAATTAATCCTAAATCAGCTTTATTTTTTAATTTTTCACTAATTAAAGGTAACATTTCTAGGTTTCTTTGCGATTAATTTGGTTGAAATGTAATTGAAATTCATGTAGAAATAAGGTTTATGGTTTACAGTAAAATTAGGTTGAATTCAAGTTTTTTGAAAATGCATTTCTGTGAAGACTAGAGATATCTCAAAAATGAATTTTTGAGAAACATATGGTATTCTCGGGAATGAATGTCCGAGAAGCCTTAAGTTCTCATAAATATATTTTCGAGAATATTTGAGATCTCTTGGACATCCATTTTCAAGAATACTATAGTATTCTCAGACATCTATTTTCGAGAAGGCTATTGCCTTCTCAAACATACATATCCAAGAACTTGAGATCTCTCGGAAATGAAATTTCAAGAAAATTAAAGGCTTTTCGATAATTAATTTCTGAGAAGACTTAAGACCTTTCGGTAATTGATTTTTAATAAGCTTAAAGATTCATTTTTTGATTGTACAAATTTTATTCAATTTTTTCATAAATTAATATATTTTATAAATTTATCTTTGAATTGACAATTTTAATAAGTTGTGTTTTGTTACAAGTATAACTCGTACCCAAAGTAAAGGTACCAAAACTAATGTCAGTTCAAGTTGGAGGCATTCGACTACCTCTTAGAGGAGACAACAAATAAGGGGGATAATGAGCTTGAGAAACATACGATTGATGACATTCCTCAGGTTGAGCATTCAACTTTCACCATGATGAGCATCATGTGGAGTCATTCCCAAGGGGTTCGATTGATACCTCAATTATATCGAGTTTCGTTTCTCATGTTGCATTTCAAATTTGGAATGACCACATAATCACTTGAATTATAAAATACGAATCATGTTAGTTTATGTATTTAGAGTTTAATGGTTGGTTGTAGTTGTTGATGATATTGTGTATGATATTGATATTGGAAATGCTGTATTAATATTTTTATTATTGTTATTGTTGTTGTTATAGGAGTGAGGTTCGTTGAAGTCAATTAGGCATGGGCCAAAGTTACAATAATGGCATCTAGATGATGCACGCTGTAGGATCCGAGCCCATGTAATCCAGTCAAGGTTGTGCTCATTCATCAACTGCATCTATCATACTATCAACGCAATAATAGTTTTCATTTTTGTCTAGAGGTGGTAACCAGAGACTAATACATTTCATATACTGTTCGATGAGATGACTATCATGCTGGACAATGTATTCATCTTTCTCCACATATTGATTAGGGGTGTCCTGGTTATAGTTCCTAATTTGTCAATGATACATGAGGCAAACACGTTATTGTTGAGGTTGCTTAGAGTTTCCCATGATGATGCTAGAAGGGAGATCGAATTGGGTAAGAGATCTACTATTCGATTATCTTGGCTACGTGAAACCTTTAGGAATGTCACTAATGCATTAAATGATGAAGCGATTGTATGTGCATCCTGTGTTTTTCTACTATATTCGGTAGGAAGTACTTTATTTTTGACAAAACCATGACGAGAGTCTCACTAGCGTACTTACCCCTATTAAAGGACTTTACTATTACTAGAAGGTATGCTTAGGGGACAACTTAACTCACTTACTTGTATAGACAACTTGGGATTGGGAGTAGGGAACATATGCATCAGATCATTGGATATCTGAAATTTATTTAGGTATGTATTTATAATTATTTAAAACATATTATAATAATTTGATTTATTTTTTATTGGTCATATTTATGATTATCTAACTAAATATTACTTATGCATTTCACGTAAGGGTGGATTACGAGCACTTTCCATCTTTTGGCCCAATCGTTAATTTGACAAAGGCTCATACTTATGTTCATATGCTACCAGCTTTATGTGAGAGTTTAGATAGGTTAATAGTATCAAACATGTGTTAAGCCCCATATGTCGATACATGGGAGACACACCCATTGGATGAGATTATTTTTTTCACTCGATTTATCAAATGTGGGATATTCATAGAGCCGTATCACCCAGAGAAAGTTCTACACCAAACTAGCATTGTACAAACTATTTCATGGAGACCGTTGGCCTTTTCTCATGCTTGACGAGGACCATCGTTCAACCAATACGATGTTATATATAACTTCTTGGACCAGTAATGAGAACAATGGGATATGCACGTTGTGTCGGTTGAGCATTGAGGCTGAAGATATCAAAGGCCTGAAAAGTGTTCATTAGACTATGATGTCTAGTTCACAATTATTTCACAACCTTAAATTCAAAATCCAGAGCATCGATTAGGATTCTAGCCTCAGCAGGTTTATACTACATATATGAGTGATTCAGTAAGTTATAAAATTTATCATTTAAAGGTTTTTTTATTAATTGGTTAATTTAAATTATATGATATCAATACTAATAACATTATTAATATTTTTGTAGTGGAGCTCGATGGCTTTATCTTTTGTTAATCATATATTGGTTGATAGATTTGGTCAAAACATTGACTATTAGAGAGATGGCTTTATTCGAGTATGAGCCATATTATATGGGTTGACTATACTATTGCCGGCTGCAGCAATTAGTCTATATCGGTATTGATTCTTACACCATCAATTCATGCATTCAAACCACTTAAACCATTGAGGCCACTTGTGCCTGCTCTATCCATAGTCCCATTTACACCGGCACATCCGAAGATTATAGTAGAGCCCATTCCTAGGCCATTCATACATGGTCCATCAGCACCTCTTGTCCCACTCACATCCATACCATCCCTACCACCAACAGTGTTAGCCACTTCATTATCCTTACCTGATTCACCACCTGTTAAGATGATACAAAGCACACTTCTCTTGTGCCACATGTATATCACTAAGGCAAAAGATCGATGGAGATGGATTGATGTTTAAATATAGGAATTAATTTTATATTGATACTAATTTTATGTTGACATACTAATTTTATATGTTGTTATGTTTATATTTAGTTTATATTTATAAAATATTCATTAGCTTATTATCTATTCAATGTCAATTGGATAACATGTTCATAACCTTAAACCCCTAAATTTAATAACGTTCATTGAATAACATGCTCATAACATAATATAAAGCATAAACAAATATAAATAATAAACATTAATACAAAATGTTTAGTATCATTACTAAAAAAAAAAAA